TATCTGTTGCAGGAGTTACAGATGCTTGATGACAATTACATTAATTGCATTATTAATTGTTTATATACTACTTATAAGAGCTACACCAGGGGGGTTAAAATAAAGTGTTATCAAGAAGCATTTCTGTTGCTGCATTCAAGTGCTTATCGAAAACTCAGAACTCATGAGATATGACATATAGCAAACCTTTTTAACCACCAGAAACAACATTGTAAGTTTGTAAAAAGATCTCAGAATCTCAGATCAGGAATAAGATGATGGTAAAACAGCACCACAAGTGCACACTAAGATCACTATAACTTAGCCCTTGTTAATCGTGTACTGTGCATGACTGGATGTCCCATGTGTGTCTGTTTTTATAAGTGAGGAGAGGGAGTCTTGGATTCGCGCTAAGTATGAACAACGGGCGTTTGTGCCGCCCCTTGAGCCAGCCTCGGGGCCCCGTCTTCCAGGGGAGGGTATGCCGGTGTGGCTGCTGACTGCGGTGACTGAGAGAGATCTGCCCAGACTCCTGGTCCTTCTGGCCCACAGCACCAAGGAACAGATCAACGCTGAACTACCTGGGTCGACTTCACTGCCTCGCACAGCCCTGCACGCTGCTTGTCAGCTGGGGGATGTAGTCATGACCCAGCTGCTCGTCTGGGTTGGTTTCTGATTACTTTTAACATTCGTTTAGATTTCTTCTTTGATTCTTCATACTCGACATTCTGTATGATGTTAGATGCTCATAAATGAGAAGGGAAATAGATTGTAAAAGGCAAAACAGTTTCATAATAAAGTAGGACATAGTAGTAGTACTATTTAAATTTCATGAAACTTTATACTTCAATTCCACTACATCTCAGAGGGAAATATTGTACTTTTTGCTGCACTACATTTGTCTGACAGCTTTAGTTACTATTTATATAACAGACTACAAGTTGCATTTCCACATTTGCTGATTTATAATTTTTCTTATAAACTGAAGGCTTAAGTCTCCTCCTTCCTAAACCAGATAAACTATTTAAACTCGCCCACTCCAGCATTAGCTGGAAAATACATTGTCACAAATCTGAAAAACAACAGGTCTGTTTTTCTGAGCTCATTAAAAACGTGGACTTTATAGAGATACTTGGTTCTCACCGGAGAGCAACGCTACAAACACATGAGGATCGTATAGAATATAATGCATTGCTGTAGATTAAACTACCCAACAGGATGTAAAGTAGTTAAATTACTTCAACCTTGAACATCTACAGCAGTAAAATGCAACATCCACATTAATGCAGCAGTAAAATTAATCAGAAACATCCTCTGTAATAGTAAAACACTGACATTTGCTGCAGAAATTTACTTTTGATACTTTGAGTACATTTTGCTGATAATACTTTTTCTTAAGTTTGGTGAAGGCAGGACATTTTACCGCACACACTGTTCTGCCTTTAATCAATATGTATTCTAAAAATAAGCTTACGTCGAGCAAATATCGTCTCTCTGTCCCACAGTATGGAATCGATGTCAAAGCGAAGGATAACCAAGGCCAGACGGCTATGAGGATGGCCAGAAAAACAGGGAGCAAAGGCTGCATTGATATTTTGCTCCAACACGGCTGCCCCAACGAGACGTCCCCCCCCACTGCCACACCCGTCCTCTCCCGCCGGTCCAGCACTGCCAGCCTGGGCCGAACCAGCTCCAGGAAGCGGGTGTCGTAGCGTGAACTGAAGATGCTACCACACAGCAGCTGGTGACGACTGGAGGATGCTTATTAGTTAGAAACCTTTTAAAACAGGGAGACAGCTGACTTTGGAGAATCTATAACAAAAATTACAGGACTATATCATAGTACTAAGGATTTAAAAATGTTTCTGAAGACTGAACAACATATCAAGCAATTTAAAAGCAATATTCATTGAATTTGTTGATGACAGATATATTGCTGAAATACTGTGTTGTTGTCGACCTCGTTTTAAAATGAATCAAGTAGAACTTTGTAGTCGTCTTCTGTAATTTTAGACCAGACACTTGAACTGTCTCTGTTTCACTTCCTCCAGAAGAAGTGCAATAATCCAGCTATGGTGACGAAAAGCAAGAGGTTGTAGAGCGAGCTGTGTCGGGTGACTGGATGGTCACTGTTGTGAGAGAATCAGTGCATCGAGAGGGTGCTGCTTTTATTCAGATTTGTTGTGACTGGACCAAAAGAGCAATTATTTTCTTTGGCTTTACAAACAAAACCTACAATATGTCATGTTGTTAGTTATGTGTGCCTGTCGCAGCAGTATAAAGGTCAGCTTGGCCAATATAAACTGTTTTCCAGTGACAAATCAGCTGAGATTATTCTGCTTAGACTAGAAAAATGAATAGTTTGGAATATGAAATATGTCAGTGTTACTCTTACAGGTCAAAGATATGGCATTTTAATATTCTGTACATGTAACTATACTACATAATTAATGTTAAACTCTGTAACGAAGACACAACTGAAAAATCAAAGACTCAATTTTGTAAATGATTTCTACTGGTAGTTTTGAAAGTATGTCAAGTTTGTTTTTTCATCATCTCTCATAATTTCTTATTCTCCTACATGTCATGAAAGCATAAGCCAGTAAACAAATGCTTTAACATTATGTAAACATGTGGTTTTATTTGTTAAAAGATTTATTTGGGATGGCCAGACGACTGCATAAAGACTATGACATTATTCATATTACTGTTGTGTAGGTCCCATGAGTTTACAGTGAAGTACGAAGAGTTGCAGGTGTCGTTGTGACTTCGGACACTTTGTGGGTCGTGTGAATCCCTCGTGAGCTAAAAGAAATGGTTACCGGAATAAAAAAAACTTTTTTTTAAAATTAGCATTTACTATGATTATTTGTTGTGTTTTATTTTGTCTTTGTCTGGGCCTGACTGCTGCATAACATTATTTAGTGTGTTTTTAGCCATGCTAGCGCCGTGGCCACGAGTGAAACATCTCAGCGACTGCAGGATAGATAGCCGTAAAAAAGATATTTCATGGACCCCACAGGATGAAGCCTACTAAATTTTATCTGGTGCCATCATCAGACTAAAATGTGTGCAATACTTTCATCAACTCATAATATTCCCATCAGCCTCAACTGTACTTTGTGTTCGGCACTAATTAGCTAATGTTAGCGTGCTAACACACTTAACCAAGATAGTAAACATTAAACCTGCTAAACTTAGCATTTAGGGCTGGTAGAAGTGGCTTTAGATTTAGTTTTGTTTTCTAATTAACACTGTTAAAACAAATCGAGGAAATACAAGTAACCTAATAAGGGAGTGGGTAAATAAATCTTTATACCTCTACTCCACAACAATACAGAGGGAAACATTGAACTTTTTACTCCACTACATTTATTTGTCGGTTTTAGTTAGTAGTTACTTCACAAAATAAATTGTGAAAGATTAAACCTTTTTGGCACGACACACCTTATATAAAAGCAGAGTCTAGTTGGGGTCTTGTACACGTTTCAGGTGTTTATGAGTTGTTGAAAAATCTGATAAAGTCATACAAATCTGTGTAGTAGAATGAGTTTTTTTTCTTATTCTCTCTCATATTAATAATCACACAACCCTTCAGATTTTTATTGTGACCTTTTGGAGGGGCCCCAACCCCTAGGTTGGGAACTGCTGGACTAAACAACCTGACTGAAAATAAACAGAGATGTTTTACCTTTTAAGGACTTTAATGTAAAGTAAATAAAACTAGCTCCACCTCTACAACATTAGTTTTATATCATATACAATATACAATACACCGTAAAACTTCAGTTAAAAGCCAAGTCCCAATTAGATGCCTGTCCCTTTTACTGGCCAGGCATGGCTTCTTGTTTTGACAAATAAAGGCAGGTCTAAATTAGACGCCTGGTCTGGTTTTCATAGAAGCTTTTTGGACGTATAAAACCTTTTAAAGCCCACCAGGTCTCCTGCTTGAGCTAGTTCTAAGCTGCTTAGAACGTGCATACCAAGATAAATGTAAAACTTCTGTCAATATGGACATGTTACATATCGTTAGATCGGTTAGATTCTCCACAATTCAATTCAATTTTACAGAAACAATTCAGATAAACCGGTATGGTAAGAAAAAGAAAAAAGCCAAATTGTTACAAGTAATATTCATACTGGTTGAAACAAACAGTTTGATTGTAGGCTATTTCCACTCTTTGCTGAGCAAGAGTTTTCAGTTCAATTCAGTTCAATTCAATTTTATTTATAGCACCAAATCCCAACAACAGTTATCACAATGCGCTTTTCATTTAGAGCAGTTCTACACTGAACTCTTTGTGATGTTATTTACAGTGACCCAACAATTCCCATGTACAGTATGTACAATATAAAATCTAATATGTATTTTAATAAAATCCTTTGGGACAAACATCTGTTAGAAGAACTGAATTTTTAAATTGACAATCATTACTGCTAGTGATGAAGAAATGAATGAAGCTCGGTGCAATACCAGCTCCATCACTCCAAAGCAAACATAAACAAATAAACTTTTAGCAGGAAACCGTTCAGTTACATCTGGGTTTTTTTGTTTTTGTTTTTTGTACCTGGAGCCTGTTTTGTACGCTGAATTTGCATTTTAATTGCAGCAGTCCAACAAGAAGCTGGTGCCAGTTTTTCCAAACAATGCAGGGACACATCATGGCAACTCCGTCCCTAGTATTGTGCGAAAGGATTTAAAGGCCAGTCCCTTATAGACACCTCTCCCAAATATAGGCAGGGTGAGTTCAGTGATAGAAGCAAATAAAAGCCCGGGCTATTAAATGAAGTTCAACAGAGTCACAGGGGCCTCTTATGCAGAACCAGCACTCTTCTTACTTTGATAATACTTATGTACTATTACTCAAGTATGTAGTAGTAGTTTTAAATGCATGACTTTCACTTGTAATAGAGTATTTTTACATTAATGTTTTGGTACTTTTACAAGGATCAGCATGTGGAGCCTTTTCGTCGCAGCGACTTATCCGGCCTGTAGGGGGCGCCTCCGGTCCACAATGTTGACATACGTCACCAAAACGCGACGGACGATGAAAAGGGTTGTAATTATAACATTTATAATCCGTGGACGACCAACGGAGTCCCGTTGAAAACATAATAAAAGAGAAGATTACTCGTCACTTACACACACATTTAAATGGGTGAGTCATGATAATGATACGAGCGAGACGCCGACATTAACAACATGGTGATTTTTTAACCATTAAACCCGTAAAAATCTGACTGATTTAGCTGTTTAGTGAACAGAGTTGTGAAAATCTGGCTAACTGGCGCTAGCTTCTTGTTTTACTGCTGCAAATAAAATGCAGATTCAGAGAATGAAACAGGCTCCAGCAACAAAACAAAACAACAAACAAACTCATGTAACTCAAGGGTTTCCTGCTAAAATGCTATGTGTTTATGTTTGCATTGGAGTGATGGAGGTGAAATTACCTTGAGCTTGATTTATTTCTACTTCACTGTCAGTAATGGTAACTTAGTTAATTAACAATGTCTTGTCCCAAAGTATTGTATTAAAATACATATAAGATTTGATATTGTACATACTGTACATAGCTATATGCCACTACTCATACTAGGGCTGCAACTAACCTTTAATCTGGTAATTATTTTGTCAATTAATAGATTAGTTGTTTATAAAATGAAAATGGTATTATCAGTGTTTCCTAAAGCCCAAGATGGTATCCTCAAATGTCTTGTTTTGATATTGAGTTTACTGTCATGGAGGAGTAATGAAACCAGAAAATATTCACATTTAAGAACCTGGAATCAGAAAATAATGACTTTTCTTAAAAGAAATTACTCAATAGTTGACTATTAATTTAATAGTTGATAACTAATCTATTCATCGTTGCAGCTCTATCTCATACATATCTATATCTATATCTCACCAAGAAGCAACTTGACATATGAGCAGGTTATGATCCTTACTGTTAACTTTACTTTTTGGCATTGTGTATAATGTTATTTGGGATTTTAGATGTCTGTTTATTATATATTTTATATTTGCACTCTTTCATACTTTGTACTGAAACTGCAACAGATTGTTTGGACAAAACAAGCAAAACTTACACTGGGCTCTGGAAAACTGTGATGGGCATTTTTTCACTATCCGACTCTTTATTTTTAAAAAACTGTTCCTGCAGTTGAACTGTAGTGCACCAGGAGCTGCTGCAGCAGCAGGGATGAGGATCCGGCTGCAGGGTCCCGGCCATGCTGCCAGCCTTCTTGCTGAGCTCAACCGCTGCCGCCAGTCACGTCAATACTGTGATGTGTTCTTACAAGTTGGCAACCGCACATTCGCGGCGCACCGTGCAGTACTGGCCTGCGCTGGGACGTACTTCCGCAACCTCTTCGCCCGGGCTCCAGCCTCATCCACCGCTGCCGTCTCTTTGGAGTTTATCTCACCAGCCAACTTTGAGAAGGTGCTGACGTTCGTCTACACGGGGGAGATCTTGACTGATCTCATAGATGTTGGGGTACTGTATGAGCTGGCTGAGAGGCTGGGCGTTAGTGAACTGGTGAGGGCCTGTCATGCCACATTCCCTGACCTGCAGGCTTCAGTGTCTGCAAACTGTAAAGCAGGCAGTGCTGGAGACCTCACCCTGGACTCCAGCATGGTTGCTGCTGCTGATGCATCGACAGCGGCTGTTGTGAGTGCAGCTTCTGTATCTGCATCATCGGTGTGTTCTTCCGCCGCTTCCTGCTCGTCTCTGTCTTCGTCAGCTGCTCCAACCCCTGTTGCCGCTCCCTCGCCTCTCTTCCAAGCCAGGACAGCCAGGGCCGGCCGTGAAGCTCACACTGGGGGTCTGTCTCTGGACCTGAAGGCAGAAGACGTTCAGTCTCATATCGGCTATGGGCAGATGGCAGCAGATCATCAACTACCAGGAAGACACAGTCTTTTAAGCGGCAGCCATTCCAGTCGCAGTGATGGCGGTCTGCCTCCAGGGCCTGTGCTCCAGCTAAAGATTGAGCAGGGGCTGGAAGAGGAGGCAGAAGGCAGTTGTGATAGTGGAGACAGAGACAGACAAATGGTTTCTGAGAGCGCGGGAAGCTCTCTGCCTCAGAGCAGTGATGCTGGACCATCTGACTCCTGCTCCTTCCCCGACTCTTCGGCTCAGCTCGGCGCTGAGGCATGCAACCCCACATCGTCCTCGGGAGAGGCTCTAAGCAGCCTGCAGGTGGGACCAGTGGAGGGTGGCATGGTGGCGTTTGGAGAGGTGGAGGAGGGGAGAGAATGAGGAGGAGAGCGAGGCTCTGCAAGGGAATGGAGCGATGGAGGGAGCAGAGGAGGAGCAGTGGAGACAGCTGGCAGGTGAGATCATAGAGCTGAGCGATGATGAGAACTTCATGGAGGAGGGAGATGAGGAGGATGATGACGACGACCTTGTGTGTGTGGAGAATGGAGAACAAGGGAACTCAAGCAGCCAGGTACTGTTTGTATTTGTCAGCACTAAAATATTTCAGGTCGAAGTGTCGACACAACAGAAATTATGTTCTTTACTCCTCCAGGTGACGGGGAACATGCTGTCATGTAAAGCCTGCGAAGTGCCGCTCCCAGCAGATCCAGCTGCCATCAGAAGACACGCTGAGACCCACCTGACGGAGCTGGGGCTCTGCAGAGTGTGCGGGGTCTCGTTCCCAGACCGCGCCGCCGGCGTCACCCACTCCCTCTCCCACGTTGGGGTGCAGCTCTTCACCTGTGAAATGTGTCACTTGCAGTTTTGCGGGCAAAACAAACTGCTGCGCCACCACCGCCAGGCAGCCTCCAGTTACACAATACCACAGGGGGCTCTGACTAACAGCAGCCAAGGCCTGAGCTCCGAGCTGCAGTGTGCAGTGTGCGCCAAAACCCTCAGCAAGGACCTCCAGGTTAGTGGATGTTTAACGTGTTTTCTAGGTGTAAGGTGAGACATTTTCTAGCTGCAAGAAACAATTTCATGTCAATTTTATACATAAGTTGCTGACTATGTAATAACAGCAATAATAATGTAAAGCACTTTAAATTGCAATTTGAAGTTGCAATGTTTTACATAGGAAAACTAGGATAAAACAAGTCATCAGAATAAAGATATAATAAAGTCAGGCCACCAGAAGTGCAGAGAATTAAATAGAATACATTATCCAACAATAACATAATTTAAAATAAGATTAAAATAAACAAAAATGTAGGAATTTGAATGAATGAATGAATGAATTCTTTATTTTGTAGTCATACCATTAAAATGGTTCCTCAGACTTCTGACCGTTAAAAATACACAAAATACTGAACATGACTCCTAAACCAAAGAAAATTGTAAAAACATGTTTAAATAGATAATAGAAACACAGTGTAAACATATATGAACAAACAAGTATTTATAACAAGTATAAATGACGGTATTTCTGTTACATGATCTGTATATTTACAGTACGGTCCTTTTCATTTGGCAGGACATTGAAAAGAACATGTGTTTTTTCAGCATTCAGGTGATTCTTTACTCTTGAAATAATATAGGAACCAGCTGAAACTGAAATACAGGTGCACATGTGGATAATGAAAATTTATTTTAATTCAAAAAGTGAAACTTTAATATATTATAAATTCATTACATATTCATTACATATTACATATTCCTGAGCCTCAGTCTGATTCTGGCGCTCACAATAAACTTTTCCACGATATGCTAATTGTTTGAGATGCACCTGTATATGGAGCAAATAAAGTGGTAAGCTATCTAAAAGGAAACATGTAGTGTGTTGAGGCGTCTGTTTGTATACTTAGTACCAGAAAACTGATTTCACAAGAGACATCTGACAGTAATGTGGACACAAAATAAGAATGTGGAATCAGCTGCTGCACCCGCAGCTCTCACATTTAGTTTATGTTTCCTTCACAGACTGTCAAAGACCACCTGCTGAGCCACGTGTGTCCGCAGAGCCTGAGCTGTGGTGTGTGTCACCTCCCCCAGCTCTCCTTGTGCTCCCTGCTGTGGCACGCCCTCGCCCACCTCTCTTTGCCCGTCTTCACCTGCCCACACTGCGCTCGCTGCTTCGTAGAGCGCTCCCTGCTGGACAGACATATGACTGTCCATGCTGAGGAGGCGGCAGCTAAGGAGAGGGAGCGGTCAACGCAGAGGGCTTTCAGAGTCAGGGCAGATGGAATGGCAGAAGTGGAGGAGTTGCATTGCTTCCTGTGCCCCCAGACTTTCCGCTCCTCGTCTGCCTTTCAGTACCACCTCAGCCTGCACACCACTGATTCCCTGGGGAGTGGTGGAGGTGTTGGGGGCCAGGGCTTGCTGGGCAAACGTAAACCTGACCAGTCTCTGGAGTGCCCTCCTTCTTCCTGCTCCTCGTCCTCTCCACGGGAGGTCGGCGGCCTCGTTAAAATTAGCAACCTGGGTTTAGGGTTGGGAATGGGCTTCAGCATAACAGATAAGTTTTTCCAGGGGTCAGTACACAGCCTGCCCTCTGGAGTCATGATCAACGGGAATTCAGGGCAGGACGGGGGAGCCGGAGCAGCAGGCATCCGTGGAAAATGGTACCGGTGTCGCTACTGTGGTAAACATTTCGCCCACTCGGGGGAGTTCACCTATCACCTCCGCATACACACCGGGGAGAAACCCTACCAGTGCAAAGTCTGTCTGCGCTTCTTCAGAGGCCGCTCCACCATGATCTGCCACCTGAAGACGCACGCCGGTGCTCTCATGTACCGCTGCACCGTCTGCGGCCTTTACTTCTCCACGCTGAAGCTGGTGTCGTCACACATGGAGCTCCACAAGGACCACCTGCCCCCGGACTTCAACATCGAGCAGACCTTCATGTACAATGATCATTCTAAAGAGCCACTGCCCACTGTGGACACCTGATCAGCCTGGTGTTTCTTAACTCGTCCCCTTTCCCTCTCACATGTCCTCTGTGTCTGGTTGTCGTGGACCACATACCGCATATAATAGACTAGGGCTGTAACTAACGAGTATTTTCATTTCTTTTTTTTTTTTTTTTTTTTTTTTTGGTGAATGGATTAATCGTTTAATCTGTAAAATGTCAAAGAATTGTACAAGAAAATTGCCACAGTTGCCCAGAGTCTAAAGCTGATGATACACGGGGCAACTTTTTGAGCAATGTTGCTGGGCAATCTTGCTAGTGGCAAGTCCGACTATGTTTTGAATGGATAGCGGTGGTGCGGGGCGAGTGGCGGAGTGATGGGGGAAGGGGATTACGGTAGTAATCTTTACTCATTACTGTTGACGACAACGTTGCCCTGCACGATTGTTCTAAAAGTTGCTCTGTGTATCATCAGCTTTAGGTTGCATCTTTAAATTGCTTGTTTCATCCAAAGATAATCAGTTCACAGTGATATAAAACTGAGAAAGCAGCAAAAACTCATGTTTGAGAAGCTGGAACAAGCGACTGTTGGTATTTCTTGCTTGATAAATGACAATATCGATTATCAAAACTGTTGCAGATTAATTTTCTATCAATCATAGAAATTTTAATTTTAATCAAACTAACTAATTGTGTGAGCTCTATAATCGGCGTAGACTTTTAGAATGTAGTGGACATATTATCTGTCAGATGGCGTTCACTGAGTCAACCTGTTTGGAGGTTGAGTGTCTTTGAACTTAGATAAAAAGAAGCCACTTGGTGGCAGCGTATCCTGTTGTGTGTCAGCGAGGCGCATTGTTGACTGTTATGCAGCGCTCTGCTTGTATCGTATACTCCAAACAAGTCTGTATCTTTATAACTTAAACAGCAGGAGAGGTTTTTATGTCAGCGATTGAGAAATACACTGTTATTAAAGTAGCACCTCAATGTAGCATAGAAATTATTTTCTTATAATTGCAGTCACTATTTTCACACACTACAATTTCTTATGTCTTTTAAAGTTTCATTTATCACTACACAGATATAACATGACCAGCCATGTCAAAGTGTGTCATTGAAGCATAAAAACATGTTTATGAGTGCTTTCAGAATATTCCATTTAATTACATGCTGTAATCACTTGTTTAGAGCATGTGGAGCATGTCGTGCTGTAGAAACATGATATTTAATTAAGTGCCCATTACATTTCTGTGTAATATTTGTGTCTTACCTCATATTTATGATGACAGTGCAACTATTTATTATTTTTTTATGTCTTTATACATTTCATTACCTGTTTCTAAAGCTATCTGTGAATGTTGGGCTTTTTTAAAATATTGTTTTTGAAAAGAATACATAATAAATGCCTCTAGGAAGACTGTTATTACCCCTGAATTATTTTTTTAATCTGTTTTGAGTGACCTTTTAACATGTCCTGTGCCACAAAATCCATCTATCATCAGAATGTCAGTGATGAACTTGCAGAATTGTGCGTAGTATTAAGAACCTCCTGTTTCCAGGGGCTTGTGACCTTTGCCCTTTTAAAGCCCTGTCTCTTCCTGCTATTGTGCTATCTGCAAACTGACACCCCCTTTTCCTTTTTCTGCCTTCTTATCATTTAAACTGTTTAATGTGACACATTCCAGACGGAGACAGAAATGTAATAAAAATCAACAGTAACTGCGAGAAGGAAGATAGCTAAGTGCAAGAACAGCAGAATATCTAAAATAAACACATCAAGCTTCATTGCTTTACTCTGTCATTAAGATAACGTACAAAATTCAACTCCAGTTTGAATAGATACAGTGTTTGATGGAGTTTTATTGCATTTTAACAGATGACCATGTTACAGGACATGTACACTACAGCAGCATCCAGCAACAGATAAATAAGGCTTTAATAATGTGAGCTGTGATTTATCTGTTAGATTTGTAATGAAATAAAACACATGTTACATTTTCAAATTTGCAAGCTGTTTATGTGGTTATGAGGATTGCTCTTATCTGGCACTGGACAGATTTGTTTACACACGCATTCCTGGTGTGGCACTATCTTTCCCCTGTGCCACGAGATTTCAGAGGTTGACGTGTGTTCCAATGGGAGCTTCGAGGGGGAAAAGCACATCAAACATTTCCTGCCTTCCTCTGTTTAAAACTGTGATCTGATACATGATATTTTTATAAACAGGAAGAGTATTATGGGAGGAAGGTGTTGGTGAGCCCATCTGTTATGTAACAAACAACACAATGAGTCTTTGACCACAGTGAGATGATACAATCTATGCCTCTGGTATTCTGACCCACCAAGATTCAGTTCTGTCAAATCCTTCTTCACTTAGATAACGTCTCGCTCCTAAAGCTTACTCTTCTTATATATCAGTATCTTTTTTTTATGATCCGACATCAGACTGGCTGGTGCTGGCGTTACTTAACTTGCGTTGCTTCCCTGGGTCTCCCCCGCCATCGTTGGGAGCATTGGGCTGGGTCCCCGCTCCCACCTGGTCCACAGTTCCTTCTCTGGGTATGTAGTTCAACACAGTGTTGATCAGGTTGTTGCGGAAGCTCTTGCTGAGGAAGTTGTAGAGGATGGGGTTGGCGATGCAGTGGAAAAGAGACAGGCTCTGCACCAAGCTGAATGAGAAGTAGAGGACTTCCACTGTATTGCAGCTGAAGATGTAGGGATCAAGGTCATCTATGATCATCAGGAACATGACCAGGTGGTATGGCAGCCAGCACATGACAAACACCAGGGAGTACACATGCACCAGCCAAACGTCCCGCCGACCCTGCACATCTTGTGCTGTTTTAACTGCACGAGCGATCAGCACATTACAGGTGATGATGACAGCAGCAGGACCCAGGAACTGGAAGATCAGGCAAAGGAAAGTCACGGAGACAAACCATTCAGTGAAGTTGTGCTCGGGCAGCATGTAACAGCCCGGCTCGTCCCACTCTAGAAGATCTACGTGGACGTTCTCCATCAGAGCCAGGAAAAAGGAAAGTGCCCACAGGCCTCCACAGAGCACCCAGCGGCGCCGGCCCACCACAGAGAAGAAGGCTGGAAACGAGGGTCTGGTCAGGGACAGGTAGCGCTCCAGAGTCATGAAGGCCAGGAAGAAGGAGCTGCTGTAGAAGTTGACCACATAGATTAGGTTGGTGACCTTACAGAGGAAACGGCCCCACAGCCAAACCTTGTCCATGGTCACCTCCATCATGAAGAAAGGCAGGATCACAATCACCATCAGGTCCGACAGGCTCACGTTGAGGATGCAGAAGAGAACCCCGTTGGCCGAGTGGCGTCGACGCCAGTTGACCCAGACGACCAGCGTGTTCTCCAGCAGGCCCACCATGAAGATGAAAAGGTAGATCAAGAAGAGGGCGATGCGCCGATAGTCCGTGTCAAGCTGGATGGTGCACTCGTAGACAAACCATGGTGTGCCATTTAAGTAGTCTAATGAGTGGTTGTGCTCGTGAGAGCTCATGGTCTGGAGTGAAAAGCAGACGAAAACAGTTTCATATCTGGAGAGAGTTTGGATTTACTTTGAGGTTAATCTGATTAGGTTTTCAGACGTTACATAACAGAAGCACAGGAGGAGGAGGGTGGCAGACGTGCTGGGTTGAAATGTTACCCAAATGATTTTGAGAAGTGGATTCTAAAACCACAACAAGTTAGAAAGCAATTTCACAACCCACAACATGCAGTTTAGTGGAGTATACATGTTTCACTTTGAGTACGTGCTTGCATTTGTTTATAGTTAAGTTATAAGTTATACTTGCTGGTTAATAGTACTTTAAAAAAGTACTCCACATATTTAGCATTGCACTCATAAAACTGTCTGACTCATGATGGATAATAAATAAAAAAAGTATCAAATTCGATGCAGCAGAACTGAGATATACTTTTTAATCTGCGCATTGTTCCTTCTTGTCAAAACCTGGCACCTACTTTATACACAATGTAACTCAACTGCAACAGCTTAGTCTGCTAGTAGTAGCTAATGTAGTCTGTTTGTCTAAAATAAGTGGAGTTCCTCTTTAATTTACAAATGTATGGTGGAAACAGGTTGCAACATCTCCAAAAATACAGAATTGGACTTTACCATACCTTTTTGTGATGACAAGTGTACTGGAGATGAAGAGGTCAGGTACCCCCTGAGGCCTTGTTGTCTTCTGGAGAGTTTTCTATGTGAAGTCTGCAGACACCAGATGACTCCTTCCAGCTCTGATGTTGAGGACTATCTGAGCAATCAAGCAGCCAGGAGTTTCTACCCTCCCGTTTCTCATTAACACAAACAGATACGCACTCAGACACACACATATACAGACACAGATCTAACAGGACATCCTCAGTGTGTAGTGGGGAGTGGTGGAGAAGTCGAGGGACGCCCACACAGCTAAAGGAAATGTGAGTTAATTGTAGTTAGCAGGGAAAAATGTGTTCAGACTGAAAGGTGTTTCCCAAAATGTCTGTCTGGTACTCACGGGAGGAAACTTGCACAAACAGAAAACAACATTGATATCCATCCAAAGCCGGGGGCTGGAGCGAATCCCAGCTGACATCGGGCAAAAGGCGGGGTACACCCTGGACAGGTCGCCAGTCCATTGCAGGGCTTCATGTTTTAATTTAAACATAAATTTGTGTACCAAAGTTGTGCCAATCCATCCAGTAGACATTATAACATTTCACTGGATAAGTGAAAACTTTGGTCTACTGGTGGCACTAAAGTTTATTATGATTCATCCTCGAGGGACCATGAAGGTCTGTAGAAAATGTCATATCAATCCATCCAATAGAAACAGCCCTGGTCAGGGTCACAAGTGACCTGCTGATGACTGCAGACGCTGGCTCCCCATCTCTTCTCATCCTCCTGGACTTGACAGCAGCTTTCGACACTGTGGACCACAACATCCTCTTTCGCCGTCTACATTCCACTATCGGTCTTTCTGACTCTGTCCATGAGTGGTTCTCATCCTACCTCACCAGGAGAACTTGAGAGAGGCTAAATCCCTGACACATAATGTCACCTGTGGTGTCCCTCAAGGCTCGGTGCTCGGCCCCACCCTGTTTATTCTCTACATGCTCCCCCTTGGCCACGTCATCACCCAGCACGGAATTTCATTCCACTGCTATGCTGATGACACTCAACTCTAGCTCAGGACAAACCCAACCCCCTGTGCTGCCCTGCCATCATCCACTCTGACCATATGCCTGGAGGAGGTAAAGGTGTGGATGAAGCAAAACTTTCTGCAGCTAAACAGCTCAAAGACTGAGGCCATCTTTGTCGTCACTCCACACCAGGTTCAGTCATCTGACATTACCAGCATCACCTTCTCTGGCCGATATTCCACTTTCAACATCAGCCACCAATCCGGGTGTTGAAATGGACTCTCATCTGACCTTTGAGGCTCACATAAAACATATCTGCAAGACCTCCTTCTTCCACCTCAGGCACATCGGCAAACTCTGTCCCACACTCACTCTTACAGATGCGGAAAAGCTTGTCCACGCTTTTGTCTCCTCCAGGCTGGACTACTGCAATGCGCTCTGTGGTGTCCGAACAATAATGCTGCGATGATGTGTTGAGAAGAAAGCCGCTTGACACTGTTCTTGATCATAAAAGTTTATTACATCAAGGAGTTCAGCATCAATTACAAGCTCTGCAGCAGCTTGGAGAGTGACCCAGCCCGATGGCCACTCTGTCTCTCTGTACATCAAACACAGCTTATATAGGACAAGGTTAGGTATCATACCATATAAGGGTCTGAATCTGCAAACTAAGGCACCAATCTATATGAGAGCAAAGTCCTAGTGTAAACATCTTGTTGGACACCAGATAAGGGTCTGAGCCTCCACGTAACCACTGACCTCTGCTCTCCCCTTAAAGGTCACTAATCCTCTATCCAGCTGCTACAGTGCTATGTTAAACTGTTATGCGTCAAATGCACATATGTTATACACCACAGCTCCTCATCGGGATCCCCGAGAAAAGCTTACAGAAGCTGCAGTACATCCAGAACAGAGCTGCTAGGATCCTGTTAAAGGTGCGGAAACAAGACCACATCACCCCCATCCTCAAATCACTCCACTGGCTTCCTGTCTCACTTAGTTTTGAGTACAATGTCTTCTTCCTTACCCACCAGTGCATGGTGAAGCCCCCCCACCCACACACACCTCAAGGAATATACTCACCCCTCAGATTTCCTTTGCCTTATCGTTTTTGTTTTATTTTCATGCTCTCTCTGTGTTTTTATTTTTAGCACTACCTGTTTTATCTTGTAGCACTTTGGGATTTGCTTAAATATAAAGTAAATTATTACAAATAAAATCTATTATTATTTATCATTATTAAACAGATGTGTATCAAAACAGATTTTCCAGAATAATCGCTTAGTGAATTGATTCTGGCAAATCTTATGGGGTTACTTTTCTCAGCAGTTTTAACCATAGGTGTAATTTACACTGGGGATGCTGGGGACAAGTCCCCGCCACTTTTTGAAATGGCAGACTTTGTCCCTAGCACTTTTTTAAAGCATAATTTGTTAAAAAAAAATATTCTGAAATATAACTTGCAGTTAAATAACAAATGAAAAAGCCTTTAGAAAGGTTTATTTATACATTAAGAAAATATGCAGTGCAATTAAAATATAGAAGAAACAAATGTGCATTGTCCAAAAAAAGGAACTGAAGATTAAAAGAACAAGCTACTGATTATAAAATGACCCAAAAACATGCACTTTAACAACTTCTTGACACGGTTTCTTTTTCCGTTCTCTCCCTGTGAACATGAAGTAGTACGACTAAATCATGCCTACGTATGTGTTGCCTCAGCAGGGATGATATTACATGAGAAAAGTTGATCTACAGGAGGAACAGATCTGAAAGCAACACAGAATGACTGAGAGCTGCACTGACTTAGATTCTATTATATTTACATATTTTGACATGTCACATGCCACCTGAATTTTGTGTTTTCTTTTACATTAATAAAGCAATTTCCACCATAAATTTGTGCAGAAACTTTCACAGGAATGCGGGAAATTAAGTCTATAATGATCAAAATTTTCCCCCAGACCCCCCGCAACTATATCTCAGCATTGAGGATATCTTTGAAACACTGTTTAGGCATCTTTCCATCTCATTCTCGTGAACCTAAAGGTAAGTGTCTCTTCACACCCCTAATCTGAGCCCCTATGTCCCCACCAGTTTTCAACACAAAGTGACACCCTTGGTTTTAACACTGTAATGATTAGTTTCCAAAGTGAATTACTTTGCGTGATCCTGTATGTTTATTTGGCAGACAGAAATGGTGCAGAAACAGTAAAAACAGGCACCACATAGCAGAGGACAATGCCAGGAAGCCCCCTCCCCCTTTGCTGTGGGGCACAGTGAAAGACAGGCAGACACATCCTCATTATCACATAATTTCAACGCTCTTTAAAAGTGAGCTGCAGTTTGGCTTCACTTCTGCTTTCAGAGGTGATGACAGAGCAGATCTGATTCCACTGATCTGACATATTTAATTGACACATGAGCAGCTTACTGTCAAACATGTGGCATGGTGAGCTGTTTCCTTATGTGATCATCTAAACTTACACAAGAAACAAGTGCAACCCTGTTCTCGCCTCTGAGGAAATCACACCATTGAGCAATCCGGAGCAGCTCCTGGTGAGTGAGCACAGATTTGTCCTTGCTTGGGGCACTGTTAAGGTCACGGCCAAGGTCAGCGTCACATGGAGAATACGCAGGAATGTTTGTGTTGGCTGTGATTCACACTGATTAATGGGATCTGCTGCCTGGACGTGGTGTTCCTACTGCCTCTCCGGACCGTCAGCAGTTTGTAGCTTAATGACCCCTCCAACGACGCCCTCTTTCTGTCTCGCTGCTCATCCTGCCCGATTCCTATTGTCTAAATCAGTTACGTTTTCTGGTGAAAAAAGTAGGAACTAGTCAGCAAATTCTGTCTCATCTGATGAAATAGGATGGAACCAGTCAGCAAAGATATATCTTCCGGAAAGAGTGAGACAAAAAGCAGTCCTGACCCTCACCACGTTATCTAAGACTACAGTAAAACATATATAAGGACAAAAACACATATAGTTTACCTAATAATCTGACTTATAAAATGACATGTAGCTACAAGTAAACTGTCTGAGAATACCACTTATTGTAAGTGCAAGTCTACAGCCATGCAAGTGGCACTGGAGCAGTGCCTTGAGCCAAATGCTAATGTCAGCATGCTAAAATGCTGATGTTTTGCAGGTATAATGTTTACCTTGTTCACCTCCTAGGTCAGCTTGATGTTATGCTATCATTTGCCAATTAGCACTAAAACACCAAGTACATCTGAGGCCGATTTGTCACAAACCAAAGTATTAAATATGAATATCTTTACCAAATTTTGTGCCAATCCATCAAGTAGATGTTAAGATATTTTATTGATAAGTGAAAACTTTGTCCTGCTGTGCTAAAGTAAAAGTCAGGGAGATCACCAATGTCATTAGGATTCCTCTTGGGAGCATGAATGTCTATAAAATTGCAAGGCATTTATAGTTAATTAGCAGTAAAACACAATGTCCTTAGTATTGAAGGCACTGATGACAATACCCAAATGTTGGACAAATTAAACATTTGACCTGATTATTGCATGAAAACAAAAGTCAAAAGACCATCAAATTTAGTATGATTCATCGTCTGGGGACGATACAGAATTTCATGACATTTCCGTCTGAACCAAAATAGGGACTGACTGACACTCATAAAAATAACATCTAAAAAAAAAAAAAAAAAAAAGCAGGAAAAGAAAAGGCCGGCTGTGTCTGTGTCTCGTCATTCTGAGGTTCATCTCCAGATGAGTGTCAAGTGTCATCACGCACGGACTCTCACACAGACAGGATCCAAATAAAAACGAGTCCAACACTTCTCAGAAATTCTTTGTAAAATATATTTTGGTCCAAAAGCTGATTTGCAAAAATACAACATGTGCAATCATCAGGTAGATGAGGCATCATACAGAGTCTACGCTGCCTTGCCAGTGTTTAGGAATGCATCATCATATGTATCATATGTGTTAAGGCTAACTGCATAAGCTACTGAAATGTAGTGATATTGTCAATGTTTTATACAGTACCCTGGTTATCACTAAATCCCAAATGTTACTACAATACACAGAAAAGAGTTCCTAGTTCTATTGCTATATTATTGTTCTAAACCTTATCCTAGCACAATGATTCACATAGCACACATTTGCCATTTTAATGCACAAAACACTACACCATGTTAAAGGAGGAGTAATAATGATGGATGGGTTCATTTTCAGGAAGTGTTTGA